TGTTCTTCTTCCTTTTGCAAGAAACAGCTCCAGATAGATTTGGATTTTCGCATAAACTGACATAAAGATGGTTGATAGCAACAGTAGTTAAATTTTGATCAATATAATAGGTATCAATAATATAAGCTCCTCTGTAATATTAGAAGCTGATGTTATAATTCTCATGAAAACAGAAATTGGTTACAAAACTGGTGGAAATTTGAAGCAGGCCAAACACACACATATGGAGTTTTACAGCCATGGTTTTCTACAGCGCACACCTTAAAGATAGCAAACCACTCTTGTTTCTGTCAATTAGTCTAATTGGAACTGAGCCTGTGAGCTTGTTTTTCTCCAGGTTTCTGCAAAAGTAAATTAAACACTATATCCATCACCCTGCTTCAGTTTGTAACCAAGGATTTGCAGTTTTGCACCATTTAAAAGCAACAAAAAACTTACAGGACATTTAAGTTTGGCAATTGAGACATGAAGTCCAGAATTGGTCCTATCAAGTCGTTGTTTGCTAAATCCCTGAAATCATGAGCAGCTCAACTCATTTAAAACAAACTATTGTGCCATATAAAATTCTGATCATATTCTGTGTACCTTCCCATTAATTTGTAAACTCATTTCACAAGTACACAGGAAGGCGCATATATGCACACTTACAATGTATGTATCATTTCGAGATTGGATATAGGAGTAGCTATCTTCCCTGTCAGTCCGCTCGAGGATAAGTCCCTGCAGATTGCACATAACCGTAACTTAATTCATTGAAACATGGAATTTAAAAGAAAAATATAAACTGAAGATATACATACATACAAGGATATGATTCTTGGGGACTCATTTTCACGATAGCTACAGTTTAGACCTTCCCACAAGTAAGCTTGAGGGACACATGGATCTCCTTGCCAGTTCTTTTTAATCTTATAAGTTGACTTGATATCTTTGATAGCGTCAACTAATTTAAATATTTTCGGAATCAAACAGAAAATCCTCATCAAAATCCCCATGTGCAATAAGGTGATTGCCAAAAAATTTGCTCGTGTAGGGAAGAATTACTTACCATCTGCTTGGTTTGTTTCTGATTCTAAGAATTCTTTTACCATGTAAAACTCGATAGCATTGAGGATTGGTGGAAGGGTAGAGTTCTCAAACTTAAAGATTGAGAAATTATATTGCCCTCCATTACTGAGAGCTTTAGTGTTGTAACTAGTTATGACGCCCAAGTAATTACGAAGAACAAGACTTTTTTCAAAGAGTTTTCCATCCCTATTGATGTACATCTGTCCAGACTGGTTGCCTGGGAGTTTCTCAACTTCTGAAAAGTGCATGTAAACATAATATTCCGTAACATTATCAGAAGGCAGCCACCGTATTTCCAAGGAACCGTTTTTATTTTTCGGTGTAGCAGCTGTGCTCAGGACAATTTCTGGTGGTCGGAAACTATTGCTATTGTCTATGGTGGATGTGGTAATTAATTGTGTCCAATCATTGTCATAGTAGCCATTCCAGAAGCGATCAAAAACATCATATGGATACCTGCATAGAGAATAAGATACATTGAGTTCATTAGTATTATTGGCAGGGGATTCGAAATTAGGACGTCTTCCAACATTGGGAAGAGAAATACTCTCGAGCCTGTGTACTATGTACTCACCTATACGACGTTAAGTTAGCGTTTTGACCCGTGTCAAATCGCATGTCAAGTGCCCAGGACTCCCCTTCTGTTTATAAGTTCCATTCAATAAAGGCCTTATTTCTAGAGCTGATATAAATGGGACCCCGGAGCCTGTGTTTACCAGACAAACATGTATATAGTTTCGGCGAGGCACATGTATGAGCTCCTTGTGTGTGATAGTAGATGCACTCTCCAACTTCACCATGCTCCATAAGTTAGCTCCCAGATGCAGATTGAATTCGGGAACTTTATTTTGGCCATCATAATTCCCGTATACAAAACTTGATCTGATTAAATACTTGTAGCCATCAGTAACATTGATCTCGTAGCAGTTTCTTTTTCCTTCAGGGAAGCTCCTAAGAGACGTGTAGGGCTGTTGATACCTATTGCTGTATTCCGGCAAAATGGATTTTCTTTCCCCGGTGTCTATGAAGGTTTCGTCTGAAATGTAGTTAATGCCGGTTGTCTTTTCAGCATAGCTGGAATTTCCAGCAAGGCCGCAGTCTATGCTAATGAATCCTGAGACAGAAGACATGGGTTTTATATAAGATGATGCTATATACATATGTTACAAAAAATGTGTTTTGAACATACCCGATTGATCATCCCGGGCATGAACTAGGAGGAGCATAAGAGCAAAGCCACCAAGCAATGGAAGGAGGAATGGCTTGAATGTTTGCGACATCCTTCAACTTTGGGAAACCAGATTAATATTTGTTATCATTTTATACAATCAGAAATGCTATTCAGATACATTTTCTTGACCGAGCAATATGTTAGAAAGTGAAGTATCACATATTTTAATCCCAATAGAGCAAATTGATTAAACATATTGTGGCAGGGATGAAGAGTCAAATTAACAAATATTCATTATAATTTTGTCCTATTTGGATGACATTTATAAGGTTATAAATTTTTGTTAGTCACTGGTAAAACTTCTAAAACTTCATATGCGCAATATTTTCCACAACATGCAAGTCTACCATTCATACCTATCTTAGAAAAACAAAATTAATGACGAATTGTGTCTGTTCTGTGCATAAAAATACAATTGATGATAATCAATTGGCCAACTGGTGGCTAAAATATGAGCTGATGATTCTAGAATCAAAGTCACCACACAGGCTGCTTCAACTCCCATGATCAATTGTTAATAAGTAATCCATAATTATTAGGAAAATTTGCATAAATACGACCTAAACTTATAGGCAACTGCTTCATTACCAATTGAACTTTTAATTTTAATTTTTAACCACCTAACCTTTGTAAAGTGTAGTAATCCACCACCTACATATAACTCCGTTAAAGCTTCCATTAAGTTTAAGGGCATTTTCGTCAATTAACTATAATAAAAAATAAAAAATATTAACCTAATTATACCAGGCCTCTCCACCCCCAACACCCACACCCTCCTCTGTATACACACACTGCATAACTCGTTCAACGTGAGTACTTGATTGCTTAAGTATTCCTATTGTTATGCAAACCATACTTTATTCTCATATGGGATGAGACTAATAAAGGAGAATTATACATTGTGGAATGGGATGAAAGCAAGCGAACATATAATGGTTGCTTGCTGGTGATGAGTTCCAAATTAAACTTTGGGACATGGACAATGACAATTTTTTTTTTTTTTTTTTTTTTTTTTTTTTTTTTTGCGCATCTTTCCCTGCAGATAGCATTAATTCTGTGATGGATAAGCATAGTTCCACAGTTCCATGCCATCCAACACTTATTGAGCTAGTGAGATTAGGTATGTCAAGCCATCACAAAAAGGATATTTGAAAGAAGAGGTGGTTATGGGTGTTGTGCGGCTGATTTTCATGTATGATCACCACAAGATCAGACCAGGGCACAACCACAACAAGTTTAGAAGGCCTCAATTTCTGCCATCACCATAAGATTATGACCTTCATCACCTATTGAACGCTTCTTGTATTTATTTATTTATTTTTTTAATTTGTTGTTTAATAATTATTTTTAGTTATTATTAATTAACAAGAATACCCTAAACTTAACGGAAATTTTAACGGAGTTATACATAGGTGGTGGATTGCAATACTTTATAAAGTTTAGGTGGGTAAAAATAAAAATTAGAAGTTCATGTGCTTACTAAAAGTTCAAACAGTATTTATACAAATTTCCCTACGAAAATTTGCAACTTTAAGCAGTCCCTGATCAATAGTCTCAATTATTAACTTTATACAAATTTATAAATAAACTCAATCCTAGACATGTATTTATAAAAAAACCCAAGCACTATTTAAACATAGAAACACACCCAAAATCAACCCCAAAGTCAACTTTTTGGGTGTGTTTATAAATGGGTTTTGAGTGTGTGTAATGATGGGTTTTGGGTGTGTTTATATGTTTAAATAGTGTTTGGGTTTTTTTATAATTTCAACCCCCATTTTGGGTGTTTTAGTGAAACTCCCTTAACTTTACTCACTTCACTTTTTTTTTAAAATCTCTAGGAGGGGAATCGAAGACCATAAAATTTTCATGATTTTGTTCGTGTTTATGAATGGGCTCAATAGGTAGCTCCTATACATTGATTTTGTTCTTCACACCTTTTGGGGATCCAGGGCCATTTCTTGTCTCTATCGCTACCGAATATTGTGAAAGAGAAGTAGCACTACACCAATAGCTAATGGCTTGCCCGCTACACATTTTGAGTTGAACCAATATTGACATTGTATTGTGCAATTGTCTTTTCTGTTACACGAATTTTCATATTTCTCATAAAACTAATGCTCTTCAATTTTTTCTTTTTAAATAATTGAATAAGTGATAACCATGAAGGGAACTTTCAGATTTGCGTAAAATGAGGTTAGGGTCGATGTCTTTGAATAATTGTGAAATGGGAAATTCGTACCAAAATTCATTAATAATATTTTATTGGGGAACATAAATCTGCGGAGTCTTTGGCCCAGAGCAGGAAAATCATTGAAATTGACAAAAGGGAAATTGCATGGGTTCAATTGACTTGGGTAGTCTCGTATGTGCAGCTCTTGTGCGTCTGTCATGTTGACATGTTCTGTAGTTAATTTATGACCAATTCGCTTTGAGTTTTGTGGAAAATTTGGCCTGCATGTGAAGGACAGTGGGTCTACGGGAGGCTTGTAAAATACGGAGGAAGACTTAACACATGAATATGACCGAGTGGTAAAGTTAGGAAGAGGTGGGTGTTTTTTTGATACACTACTAAGATGCTGTAGGGGTTCGAACTTGAGACCACTGGTCTACAAGACAAGACCCTTTCCACTGAGATAGACCTCGTTGGCGAACATCATACTTATATTTAGTTTGGTAATTTTCCTTACATGATAGCAGTCTATATAGAGATAATAACTGGGCTGCTTGTACTTGTTTCTGACTCAATTTGGGAGGCCATTCTAATTGAGCTGCTTGAACTTGTATCATCGTTCCCTACAATTTGTGTTCTTCCAGAGGACATCTCAATTTCCAAACATTCCTTCAAGTCCTTATAGATAAAAGTTATATCAGGCCTTCGGATTGCTTTTAAAGACACACATGCCATGGCAAGTTGTAGAGCTTTCCAAGCAGAAGAGGTGTTGTAGGTCCCTTGTATTCTTGAATCCACGATACTTTCAATTTCCATAGTCTCAAAATTTGGACTCACCCATCGACATATGTGAATAGGTTCAGTTTCTACATCTCTTATTATTGCTGCTCTACCAGTTATTATCTCTAGCAACACAATCCCAAAGCTGTATATATCACTCTTTTTGTTCAGCTTTCCTGTGTTGTAATATCTGGAAGAATAGGGAAAACAATTAATTAGATATTATTTGTTTTAGGGATAATTTGATCTAATAAAGCACTATACATACCTAATAGGATTTAGGGTTTAGGGCTTATAGAAAATGACTACCTAATATAACTCAATTCAACAGATCATATATATGAAAAGGTTACAATTTGGATCTGATCGTAAAACAATATTCCCTAAAAATTTGGAAAATTTAGTGAGCATAATTAACACTTACTGAGGATCAAGGTACCCAAATGTTCCTTTAGGGTCAGTTGATACATGAGTGGCACTTTCAGTTGCAAGAACTTTAGAAAGACCGAAATCGGCTATCATGGCGTGAAGATTTTCATTTAGCAAGATATTTGAAGTCTTTAGATCTCTATGTACTATTGATGGCTTGCAGCCATTGTGTAGATAATCCAGTCCTGCAAAAATTACTTAAGCCATGTTAACTAAATGAAGATCTTAACTCTACGATTTTCTTGCAACATACTATGTTTTTGGGTTTCAACCAAGGTCTTAAATATCGATAGTTTCAGAAATATCGGTGGTTCAAAAACACAGAAATATCGATGGAAATATCGGGAAAATATCGATATCGATAAAAATTAGATAAAAACCATGGAAATTATGATAAATACATGGAAATTTTTAATGAAACTTTAGAAGAAGTTTATTTAGTCAATCATCGATTTTCTTGCAACATACTATGTTTTTGTGTTTCAACACAAAAACACACGTACATATATGTATGTACATACATTAGTCATAACTATTTGATTAATGTTTCCAAGATCCAAGATGAACACAAGAGCAGAATTAAATTTTGAAAACTGGAAGAGAAGAAACTAGATTATATATATAATTTTTCATTTCATTTTTACTTTTGTTTTAGTGCTTACCTCGTGCTGCATCAACTGCAATTTGAAGTCTCTCCTTCCAAGTCAAAACGTGTAAAGTTAAATCTGCACCCAAAAGTTTTCAGTGACCATAGAATTCTTTAAAATTTGTTGAAAATGAGCAATAAAAGAGAATTAGGCTTATAGATGGTCAATCCCCATAAAGCGAGTTCATATGAATATGTATCGATTTACCAGCTGATAAACGCTGTTGCAAATTTCCATTAGCAACGAAATTATAAACAAGTGCCATAGTCTCCCCTTCATCACAGTACCCAACCAGAGACACCAAGTTTCTATGATGAGCTCTCACCAACAGTTTAACCTGCATTTGTTATGGCTATCAATCATTTTTAGCAACGACTAATGTTGATCTTGTTGAGCTCTCTTTGTAATCAATACAAAACAAACATGTAAGTACATATATCCTTCTTCATATAGCTACCTCATTTTCAAATTCTTTTGAGCCCTGTGTTGACGATGAAATCAGTAACTTGACAGCAACTTGAGTCTGATTTTGCAGAGTGCCAAAGTAGACTTCTCCGAATCCGCCTCTTCCAATTATTGATTTAAAATTACTGGTAATCTCCACAATCTCTGGGTATGTAAAGCGTTGGCCCTCTGCCTCCAATGAACTGTTTTGGTTGGAATTCTGCATCACCTCTACACCAAAAGGATCATCACAATGGGCATGTTGTTTTTTCCTTTTAAAACCCACCCATAAAACAGCTGATACAGTTGATAAGAGGATGAAAATTCCAGGGATTGACACTGCCAAGACAATACTGATACTCTGCTTCTTCTTTTTGCACGAAACTTGTCTGGATAGATTTGGATTTTCACACAAACTGAAAAGAAAATTGTTGATGGCAATCATAGTAAGATATGATTTTGATGGACTTCAAAATAGCATTTCTGCTCTTTATTTTTATTGTTAATTTTCTTCCTCCTTTCTTTTAAAAATAAAAATCGTACCGTAGGGATAGCAAACCATCCTTCCTCTTCTGAATGAGTCCTACGGGAACTAAACCTGTGAGTTTGTTTTTCTCCAAGTTGCTGCAAAGCATGCAATAGATCTATTACCATAATTTCTAAGGAGTTGCCGGTTTAGACCCATAAGCAAGTCAATAACTTACAGGTCCATTAATTTTCGCAGTCGAGACAAAAAGTCTGGGATTGATCCAGTTAAGTTGTTGTTTGATAAATCTCTGAAATGATAAGCAGCTTAACTCATTTAACTACTGATTGTGACCAATTATGGGCATATTTTACAAATATGTAGTAGTTAAGGCATACTTACAAAATGTGTATCATGGTGAGATTGGATATATAAGGAGCTATCTCCCCTGTTAATCCGCTGGAGGACAAGTTCCTGCATGATTACATATATGTTCCGTAATTGAATAATTAAGACATAATGGGGATTAATTAAAAATATTTCGAGTAAGACAGTCATAGTACTTACAAGGATACTATTCTACTGTGCTCATTGCTACAGTCTATACCTTCCCATGAGTTAACCAGAGGGGAGCATGGATCTCCTTGCCAGTTCTTCTTAATTTTGTAAGTTGACTTGATGCTAGTGATTGCATCAACTAGTATTTTCAAAAGCAAACAGAATATATCACTAAATTAACAGTGACAAAATTAGCTTGTGTTACAAGTATAAGGAAAAAGTACTTGCCATCTGCTCGGTTTGTTCTTGATTCTAAGAATTCTTTTACGGTGTACACCTCGATGGCATTAAGGATTGGTGGAAGGGTAGAGTTCTTAGCCTTAAAGATTGAAAGATTATATTGTCCTCCAGTACTCAAAGCTCTAGTGCTGTAAATAGTGGAGGAGGACAAGTAATAAGGAACAACTTTCTCATGAAGGGACTCTCCATTCATAGTAATGTTGAACTGCCTAGACTGGTTGGGTTGGAGCTTTTCAAATTCTGCAAAGTGCATGTAAACAAAATATTCTGCACTGTTATCAAAATCCATCCAGGAAATGTACAAGGCGTCAGTTCCATTCTTTGGTGTGGCAGCTGTGCTCATGACAACAGATGGGGGCTGGAAACTATCGTGAACATCAGAGTCGATCATGGACGAGGTAATTACTTGTTTCCAATTGTCGTCATAGTAGCCATACCAGAAGCGATCATGAACATCATCTGGATACCTAAATAGATATTCAAGGGACCATCAGTATTGATTAATTCTAGCTATTCAACCATGTAAACATCTCCTTGGACATTATGTACTCACCTGTATTCTGTCAAATTAGCTGCTATTTGACCGGTGTCAAGCCGCCATTGAAGTGCCAACGACCCAGTTTGTGTTGGATAAGATGTATTAGGTAAAGGCCTCAGTTCTAGTGCTGATATAAATGGAATCCCCAAGCCGGTGTTCACTAGACAAACATGTATATAGTCTCTTAGAGGGACATGTATGAGCTCCTTGTTTGTAATGGTTGATGCATCCTCCAACTTCACCAAATCCCAAACATTAGTTACAAGTTGCAAGTCGAATTCTGGCAATATATTCTGCCTATCATAGTTCCCATATTTGAAACTTGATCTGATCAAATATTTGGTGCCATTTGTGACATTGATTTTGTAGCAGTTCCTGATCCCTGCAGGGAAACTCCTAAGAGACATGTAGGGCTCTTGGTACTTATTTCTGTACTCTTGCAATACGACGTTATTTTCACCGGTGCTTATGAAGGTTTCGTCTGAAATGTAGTTAATTCCTGTCATCTTTTCTGTATAGCTGGTATTTTCTGCAAGGCCACAGTCTATGCTAATAAAGCCTAAAAGAGAGACACATATTAGATGTCTTGTGCTTACTAAAATGTATGGCTTACACTATACACTGTTACCAAAGCAACCTCCTTTTTTTTTTTCTTTTTTTTTTTTTGGGCAATTGGAGATAGACATACCTGTTTGATCATCTTGGGCATGAACTAGGAGGAGCATAAAAGCAAAGGCACCAAGCAGTGGAAAGAGGAATGGCTTCATTCTCTCTGCGATAATATTATTCTACTTTGAGAAACCGGATGCAGAGTTATCATTTTATGTACAATATTAGCAAATCTATAGAGTACAATATTTTGACCGAGTAATTCTAGAAAGTGAACTGAAGTATCACATTATTTAATTCCATTAGCTAATCAAACATATTGAGGCAGATGATGTGAGATCTAAATGAAAAAAATTAATAGTAGACAGCAACATATTTGGCCATGAGTTAATGTCATGAAGTGTTTTTGGTACTTTCTTTGCAGGCTAGCTAGTCACTGGTGAAACTTCTAAAAAGTCATACGAGCAATATATTCCACCACTGACGAACTGTTCAGAACATGAGATGATATTGTGAGGTGGACTCAAATGAATGGTTATCGCTTTATGTAGTTTATTACTATTATTTGTTATATAACTAAGGGAAAATTGTATAGAGAATTCGAAAGTAGAAAAAGACAATAGAATTTGTGTCAATCAACTTGTACGTCACTTACTTTCATCTATGGTAGAATCATCTATTTATAGGCTTACGATATAGGAGATTAAGTACTACATTTACAACATATGAATAAGTTATAAGCACTAACTACAAATATTTAGGGCATAGGTTACATAAAATTAGAAATGGTGGAATGCTAAAAGGTATGGTGGTCATCCACCAATTATGCATTTACAACATTATTATTATTATTTGCATATACTTGTTTAAGCATAGCAAAATTGAAGGTGATTCCAAGCTTGTTATTGACTGTTTGAATGCCAAAGATGAAATTCCATGGAATATGAACTTTGTAGCTTAAACTAGCAGCCAAGTTAAAGGTCATGGTCAAAGAAAGGAAGTTGCATTTCATTGCATCGCATGGGCTTTGTTGACTTGGGTCGTCAACGCATAAATGCCAAGCATTTTATGTTTCGTGATGAGAAGTGAGATGAATGAATTGAGTTTTTCTTTTCATGTTGAATAAGTATTTTATGTTTTGGGATTGATTATTATGTGAATGACTATTAGTACTTATATTTGATTATATTTGATAGAATATTCTGACTTAAAAAGAATTAGTAGTACAATTCATATGTATTGTATTATTTATATTTTTTATTAAAATAAATTAATGTTCGAAAGGCTTACGCCTGGCATAGCGGATTAAAAACGCCTCGCCTTTTAAAACATTGTTTGCAAGCGTGAAACCAACCCATTGAATTAATTATGTGGGTTCTCTCATGCGTCCTTGTTAAAACGGGTCTACATATGATAATCTCCAACAGCACAACCCCAAAGCTATGAGCATCACTTTTCTCATTTAACCTGTTTGATAGGTATAACCTGCAAGCCAAGCCATATATGAGCTCAGTTCATATCGTCTGATGCAAAATACTTTGCTAAAATGTCCATTAATTTATTTGTTATTTCCTAATTCTTGTTCCTGTTTTATTTCATTTGTGTTTGCTTCACTGTCACTGACATGTTGTGAATTTAAGTACTAGTAAAGATGATAATGGGAAAATTAAAAGTGTGAAATACTTACTCAGGATCAAGGTAGCCAGGAGTGCCAGCAAGAAGGCTGGATGCACGAGTTCCATCATGAGTAGGGAAATTTCTGGATAGGCCAAAATCAGATATTTTGGCTTCGAAACTTTCATTCAGCAAGATGTTTGTTGATATTTCACATCCCTGTGCATTATCGGTGGCTTACAACCACAATGCTGATACTCCAACCCTGCATTTTAAAATTCTTACATCGCTAACACAAAAGTTCGAACAAATAAAAGAGATTCTTGCTATAAAAAAGAAGGATCAGGAAATTCATTTTAGTTGCAGACCTTGTGCAGCATTTGTTGCTATTCGAAGTCTATCTTCCCAAGTCAAGATACTTGATATGCCATCTGCATCCATATAAATGTTTTGAAAGGCGAGGCGTAGATACAAAGCGTTTTTATCCGCGCTATGCGAGACGTAAGCCTTTAAGCGTTGAGGCGTAAGTCTTTTGAACATTAATTTATTCTAATACACAATTAAATTATACTACTAATTATTATTGAACCCTGATATAATGTATTAAGTATAATCAAATATAAGTACTAATGGTCTCATTCATGCATAATAATCAATCCCTAAATCTAAAATATTTATTCAACATCAAAACAAAAACACAATTCAGTTCATATATTAGGGTTATACTATAAATAAATGAATATATATATATATATATCCATGTTAATATATTAATTTAGGAAAAAAGAAAAAGGAAAAAAGGGTAAGCAGTTGTGTTTCAGTGAAAAAGGGTAAGTAGTGGTGTTTCAGACTTCGGTGGAGGCGTTAAGCATATTGTTTGTTAAAAACAAAAAATCATGATTTAAAAATAATAAAAAAGGCATGCTGAACGTCAGTGCTAAACGTGCGTTTCATTAACTTTATGAAACGAAGTCGTTTCGTTCCCAACGAACCCTAAAAAAAAACACGCGAGGTCATCTTCTTCCTCTCGCGGCCGCTTGCAGAACAGCCATCCTTCGTCCTCCTCGCCACACGTTGCCACGCCTCGCGGCGCTAAACGTGCAACCTGCTAAATAGATGAACGCTTCAGGCGATTTCCTTCCGCCTCGCTCCGACGCGCGCTTAGGCATGCCTTTGAAAACACTGATCCATATACGGGATAAATATATTTGAAATGTATAGCCGCGCGGCTATACTCCAAATCGAATATTTAGAAGGTATAGCCGAACGGCTATACTTCACAAAATGGTTTTCTTTTTTGTAATTAAGTACTACCTTAATCCTTTTTAATTACTTAAGTTATTATTTATTTAGTGTATAATTAGTATTTAAATATTTTACTAATTTCATAAATCAAATAATAAGTAGTAATTAATTATTTTAAATTATTTTGTGGATTTTGTTTTTTATTTTATACAAAATGAGTTTTTTAAATTTTAATATTTGCAATTAAGTAATATCTTAGCCTTATTTAATTATATTAATTATTATTTATGTTTGAATGAATAATTAGTATTTAAGTATTTTAATTAATTTTATAAATTACTTAATAAATACTAATTAAGTATCTAGACTCCACCTGCTGAAATTCCTTGCCTTGTCACCATGAAAACAAGGCAACTTCATATTGTTTAAATATATAATATGAGAATCCATATAATTGCGCAAGTGCCAACATGCAAGCACATAATATATTGAAAATGTAAATTGACCAAGGGTAGTTAGAAGATTTGTCTACCGAGCCAAAAAAAACAAAGCAAATTGACCAAGGGTATTACTTTCATCATTCTGCATTATTGATAAAGGTCATGCTAGGATTTTGTATAATATCTTATCTAAGGGTATTAATTTCGTCATTCTGCATTATTTCATCAATCTGGCAGTTTATTGATGGGTAAAATTTCATCTGTTCTATTCAATTTTCCTCTTGTTTTTGTTTTTGTTTTTTTACTGATGTGGAGTGGATAAATTTTTAATTTACCATATATACCAGAAGTAAAATGTTTGATTTACCCCTAACATTGACGAAAGTAAACAGAATCGGCAGTAAAACGAAATTGCCATACAAATGGAAGTATAAGGATTACATAAAAACCACAAAAATAAAATAGAGCATCAAAATGAAATTCGGGTATAAAACAAGGACCATTACGATTAAAACCCCATAAAAAATATGTACGTAATCAAAGTTCAATCTAACATCCAACTTAAATGAAAAAACAAAATAATTTAGGTTCTTTAATTATAAAATTTTATCATTATTTTCTTACCAAAGATTGGAGATGTTCATACCTTTTTGAGTCTGAGCATGAACTGGGAGCGCCAAGCAGTGCTATGAGGAATTGCCTGAATATCAGCCCCATCTTTAATACTTGTGAAACATGACACAATTGTTTTCAAAGAATACCATTACATATATAAGCATCTATGTCGCACCCAGGTAGATGACTGCCGTTCCTAAGAGTTGTTTGATTTCGTAAGTTTAGCAGACGTGGGAACACCTTCTGTAGCCTCTAATTCTAAAATTTAAGGCTTAATTTGGACGAGAGAAGCCGTATAAATTTTTAAAGAACTTGTTTATGCAATATATTCCGAAAAATGCGAGGCCATAAATACTCACATTCATATATTCTTTTTGGTTATCAACTAGTTCTTAGTCCAGCAATGCCCTTTATTCTTCATTGAAAAATGTTTTAAATTCAAAGACTGATAGAAAAAGAATAACACATTATTTTTTGTTTTATTTAAATAAAGACAGTCGATTATTTGACAAAACCCAATATAGTTTATTTTTAATATTCAACTGATGTATAATAAATGAATAATATAAAAAAACATAACATAACGCAAACTCATTGGCAAACTAATCAGTCACAACTCATAATCGTTACTCAGTTTGGAGGTTGGATCTTGTGTTTCTTCGTGGTTCACCTGATACGTTGCGTTCGGTGCTCTGACAGGGCCAACATAACGGCCAGTCTCATTTCTCTATTTCTCTAAAAGTTTTGGCTTCCTTTTGCCTATTGTCCTTTAAATTTTTTCGTTTTAACTACTTGTTTCATTTATTTATTTATATACTTGATTGAACATCTTGAGAACGAACTAGCAGCATCAGATTAAGAGCGAAACCAAGTAGAAAGAGGAGTTGCTTGAATGTCCACGACATGATCACTAAAAGGGAAACAAACACACAAATTTAAGTAACATTGCCCTAGTGGATCATGTTGTTATGTCGGATGTGGCTTAACTCAAGTCTATAAGTCAAGCCTACGCTTTTGTCTCATGTTCATCATCCAATTATCTATCGTCAGCTCAGAAAGTCATCATACATTTCTCAAAGTCCATTTTTTAAGTTCTGTTAGTTTGGTTAATTTGAACACTTGATTGTAATTTCCTTTGATTATTATAGTAGAATTAATCTTCTCCCACCAGCGTGGAAGCTACTGCCAAGTCAGAGTTCGCT